AGTCATTGGACTTGGCCTTTTTAAACTCATTAAAGTAAATCCGTCCTTGAAAATCAGATTGATGTGATCCAAAAAATGCAAAATTTGGAAAGTATTTGTTATGCTTTGCTTAACAGGATAGAAAAAAAAAAGGCCTCTATAAACTATATAAAGAACAATATATGGAGACCTCACTTGGTGAGTATCCTTTTATTAACAGAATGAACTAATACACTAGCATGTTTTATATTTCAGATTTTTACTTCTCTGGAGAAATAAGATGATCCTGGCAGCATTGGGCCAGGATTCTCTCATGATAGCAATAAGTTTCCTCACTAGGTTATCTAATCCCTACAACTCCATATTGCTGAGTGTCAGTTGCTATTTATCATTATGTTCATACTGTTTTTCTTAGAGTTAAGAGGAAAGTGAAATATTTCTTATATCCAAGGCTCTTTCAAAATTGGAAAACCAAAGATGAATCAGGAAGAGTATCCCTCTGCATTTGATATGCAAAGATACCACTGTTAGAAAACTATACATTATGATGCTCTTATCAAACAAATCCTTCCAGCTTTACTCATTGCATTATTTATGTGGCTCCTACAGGCATTTGAGTATGCAATGACTCTTGTAATAAAATGATAGTAGAAACACAATTATATACGTAAGAATTTACAAAAGAAGTGTGATAAGCAACAGATATTTTTAGACCAAATCATATTATTACTTTTGTTGATAGAATAACTCTATCAAATCTCCAGTAATTAACAGATTCCCTCAAAGTGCTACCCAACTCAATAGCCACTGAGAACAATTTAATGAATTCACACAGTGGTTCCTCAGTGGCTAGAAAGTGTCGATGTAATTCCCTGAGTGCCTAACTTCTTGGCTACCATATACGCTTGGAGAAGATGGCTTCAAGGAAAATGGGTGAAGAATCTTTAGTGTTAGAGGAGAGGAAGAATATGCAAATGAAAGCTTTTGGCAGGTCTAACTTGCCTCACTGTTGCCTAGGAAGAAAGGTAGTTGCTACATATTTCTTGTTGAGAATCATGATAAAATAAACATAATCCGAGCTTTAGGAGCATAATAGATTAAAATCGACATCTTGGATTAACTCAGGAAGCAAATGGATAGCCATGGTAGACCAGTATATTAATATGATCTGCTGTTTCCTTAAAATATTTTGGTCTTCTTTCTGCTCTAATAAGCTCTCACATTAAACATATGGGAGCAGTTGAATGTGAAAATTCAGAGGTTTAATTGCATCTTTAGAGAAATACAGCAAAGAAAATGAGATTGAGATTTGGGAAAGAAAATTTTCATAATACATCAAGGAAAAAAAAATAATGTGAAGGCCAAGTATTCAGTGAGTCAGAAAAATTTAGAGAGTCATAATGTTAGAGCCTGCAAACTGGAAACAAGATATGAATTCATAACTTACAAGAGTATAGATGACAGCAAGAAGTTAGTGTTATTCACCAGAATCTAACCATTGGTATATAGCTATAGTAAATTGGCATAAGCACCATGGAGTTATCCAGAATGGACATTTTATCAATGTCTTGCCTACCTCTTACTGCTTTGCTCTGAAAATTAGTCTGAAGGAACCATTAGACAGTATTTGCTAAAGAATGACTATGATATTTTGGCTCTTTTTCTAACTCTAACTTCTATGAATTTCCACAATGCCATAAAAACACTTTAGCAAGAATTTTGGCAAAATATTTACAATTTCTTCAATAACATTGCTCACAGAATAAGAGAAATGGAAAGCAATCACTTAGTAACTTCAGAGAGACAAGCAAGAAAGAGGAGAAACAATTGCTTACCATGCTATTTGTGATTAAAAAAAAAAAATCTCAGTTTAGCTATTAAAGAAGCCTGCTGGGAGCCAAGAATTGCACATATCAGAGGATCATGCTGCTTCCCATTACCATGTAGGAGAAATGGTACCTACAGTCTGGCTGTTTGTGGGAATAGAAGTATAGCTGTAACAGTAGGCGTGTGACCAGTGGCTTGTGGGAGACAAGCACTTATGGGGATAAAAAGGAACCTGGCACAGGCCTTGGGCTTCTGGCATCATTAGTTACAGGTCTGCCAAGATACTTTGGGAAACATTTTAATTTAAATGCCAAATCTATTTCAATGAAGTCTCCCTGGTTTGACCTGTTGGGAATCCAGTGAGATGGATGGGCGCTCATTTTGGAGAACATTAGGTGAATTAGATGATGGTTTTATAAAAAGCATCCTGGAGGTTTAAATCTCTATATGTTCTCATTCAACTGAGGAAACTCATGGTATGAGTTGCAGGATATATGACTCTCATAGCATTTTACTAGTGATTGGTAAATGCAGGAAAGGGCACAGATACCTCCAGGCATTTATTCAAAATACCAAAGTTAGAGAACTTTAGGAATAAAGGCCCAGCATTCTTCCATTTCTCCACCACAGCATACTCACAGGATGCTACAGTTATAAATTAGATAAGGTAGATTAAGAAACTGACTTGAATTATTTGAACATATTTTTGTGTAAAAACTATCACAAGACAAAAAAAATTTTTTTTGAACCAAAACTGGTGGAGGTGGGGGAGGAAAAAAAGGGAGGGACTGAATTAACTATTAAAACATTGTTGTCCATCCATGTGGAAATATTTAAGTTTGTGAGCTTCTAGGCCCAGGTTGGCAAGAAATGGATAAAAGCCTGTCTGATGGATTAAAAAAAATATGAATCCAGAAGATCAGAAGAATTAAAACGCCCCCAAGAATAATATCAAGGTATTTGAAGTTGCTTCAGAGGCAAGGGCGGGTTTGTATCGGTATATGGAGCCCTTTCCATAGAGGCTGCTTGGCAGTTTGCTACAACACCATGCTAATGAAACCAAAGTCTTTAAGTTCACCCCCCCAGCGGACTATCAGTTTTTCTCTCGCTCCCTGCGGGAGGCGAATTCCCAGAAAAGGCAATACCTAGCTGGGGAATGGCTGGGGTGCTAGAGAAGGGCTGGAGGCTGGAGCCAGGGAGCCTGGGATGTAGAGGAGGGTGGTGTCAGGCTGGGCGGGGCCTCGGGTACCACGCTGTGAGTTTGGGCCCTGTCTGGCTAGAGGGATGAAGTTCCAGGCGAGGTATTTGAGCGGGGGTGCGACCTGATCAGTGACCTCGCTCAAATGATTTTTAGGCCAGTCACTCTACCTGAAGCATTGGGACTGGGGGTAACCGGGGAAGAAAGAGAGAGAGTGGGGACTGGCTGTTGTGATCCAAGTAGGATATCCTATCCTCAAAAAGATGAGACTGAGCAGGGCGGGGCCCGCAGAGGGCTGGACCAGCCGGCATCTCTGGCGGCGGGATCAGGAAGGACACTAGAAGGGAGGGACGACGGTGATAAATCCTTGTAGGGAGACTCAGAGGGCACAGAACTGGCTCTGCCGCGGTCCTCTGCTCTTCGCCTCTTGCCGTCCGCCCATCCCCACCCCCGCCCTGGCATCCATGAAACCAGTTGTATCAATTCACAGTTAAGGAGCCCAAAGGAACGGAATTGGTTTCTGTATGTGACTTGGGTCTGACCCACTGGGAAAGCCCAGGGGGGAACGTCCGGGTGGCCCTTCTCCGAGCTAGGTGGGAGGG